TCCGCGCGTGGCGTCACTGTGCTGGGCCCCCCAGCAGGCCTCGAAAGTGGCGACAGTTTCACAGATCGCAGCCTCTAGGGGATGGCGAGGTCTCATTTGAATCTGCCCGTGGCACCCGTGGCGTCACTGCGCTGGGCCCCCCAGCAAGCCTCGAAAGTGGCAACAGTTTCACAGATCGCAGCCCCCAAGGGATGGCGAGGTCTCGTTTGAATATGCCCGTGGCGTAACTGTGCAGGGCCCCCCAGCAGGCCTCGAAAGTGGCGACAGTTTCACAGATCGCAGCCCCCCCAAAGATGGCGAGGTCTAATTTGAATCCGCGCGTGGCCCTCACTGTGCTGAGCCCCCCAGCAGGCTTCGAAAATGGCGACAGTTTCACAGATCGCAGCCCCCCAGGGATGGCGAGGTCTCATTTGAATCTGCCCGTGGCGTCAGTGTGCTGGGCCCCCCAGCAGGCCTCGGAAATGGCGACAGTTTCACAGATCGCCCCCCCCCAGGGATGGCGAGGTCTCATTTGAATCTGCCCGTGGCCCTCACTGTGCTGGGCCCCCCAGCAGGCCTCGAAAATGGCGACAGTTTCACAGATCGCAGCCCCCCAGGGATGGCGAGGTCTAATTTGAATCTGCCCGTGGCCCTCACTGTGCTGGGCCCCCCAGCAGGCCTCGAAATGGCGACAGTTTCACAGATCGCAGCCCCCCAGGGATGGCGAGGTCTAATTTGAATCTGCCCGTGGCCCTCACTGTGCTGGGCCCCCCAGCAGGCCTCGAAAATGGCGGCAGTTTCACAGATCGCAGCCCCCCAGGGATGGCGAGGTCTAATTTGAATCCGCGCGTCGCCCTCACTGTGCTGGGCCCCCCAGCAGGCCTCGAAAATGGCGACAGTTTCACAGATCGCAGCCCCCCAGGGATGGCGAGGTCTAATTTGAATCTGCGCGTCGCCCTCACTGTGCTGGGCCCCCCAGCAGGCCTCGAAAATGGCGACAGTTTCACAGATCGCAGCCCCCCAGGGATGGCGAGGTCTAATTTGAATCTGCGCGTCGCCCTCACTGTGCTGAGCCCCCCAGCAGGCCTCGAAAATGGCGACAGTTTCACAGATCGCAGCCCCCCCAGGGATGGCGAGGTCTAATTTGAATCTGCGCGTCGCCCTCACTGTGCTGGGCCCCCCAGCAGGCCTCGAAAATGGCGACAGTTTCACAGATCGCAGCCCCCCAGGGATGGCGAGGTCTAATTTGAATCTGCGCGTCGCCCTCAGTGTGCTGGGCCCCCCAGCAGGCCTCGAAAATGGCGACAGTTTCACAGATCGCAGCCCCCCGCAGGCAAGACAGGAAGAGGCAGGGAGGGAGGAGGAGGAGGAAGGAAGGAGTGGAGACCACACTGCTCTATTCAAAACGAATACCCAACCAAGGAGGGTTGGGAATAAGAGCGCTAAGACGAGTTATACTACTAATGGGAATGATAAGAACATTACTATGTATACTGTTCAACCTACGAAGAAGAAACATATATTTCGAACCATACGAATACTATTTGTACTAGGAATAATGCTGATAGTACGAGTGCGAATATCAATACGAATGCTGCTACTAATAAGGAAACGATGAATGATATTAATACTACCAATCATAATCATGATAAGGGAACGGCTAATAATAATATTTATCAGCATAAGACGAATACGAACATACACAACAATCACAATACTAATGCGATTATTTCTAACGATAATTATATGACTAGTGAGCTGACCGCGGCGAATATTATTCATACTGCTAATGACGTCATTCCGGTTGATACTAAGACATGTAGTTTGCAAAGGAATAGTAGCACGTTTAGTATTATGCCGATTACGAAGGAGACTATTTATCATAATACTGGTACTCAAACTAATACTAGTACTATTGATACGAATGCCACGAATATGAGTATTTATCAGTCGCAATTTCATTGCTACCATTGGTGACGGTACTACGAATGATATCACTAACACGAATAGTGACATGACTTGTATCAATAATAGTAGTAAGGCTAATCTCATTTTTTGCACTACTACTGCAACTACTGATGCGAAGTATACTGTAAGTACTGCTACTACTATTGATACTCATCATCCTACTAATACTACTCTTACGTATAACAGCATGGTTAGCATCAATAAACATCCAGTAGTATTAATACTACTAATCATGAGCACACTAGTAGACTCATTCTGGACACATTTATGTTTTGGTACCATTGAGGGTGACCATGACGATGATGATGAGGATGATGATGGTACTGATGATGATGATTATGCTAATGCTGCACATGATGATGATATTGGTGCTGATGTCGATGATGCTGGTGCTGCTGCTGATGATGACGATGATGATGATAATGCGGCTGATGATGATTATGCTGATGATGCTGATGATGATGATAATGATGCTGCTGATGATGATGTTGATGAGGCTGATCTGATGAGGCGGATGTTGATGATGATGCTGATGATGATGCTGATGCTGATGCTGATGCTGCTGATGATGATGATGCTGCTGATGATGCTGATGATGATGATACGGATGATGATGATGAT